GTTAAGCTGGATGGAAAATTTTGGATATCATAGCCAATTTAGTTCCAAATAAATATTACAAGGCTTAAACTAGAAAGAAAAATATTCGCAGTCGATGTTTTCCATCAAAGCATTATTATATCATATGCATTATTTTTCCCATAGAAGAGAATCGTATAAAATTTGTAGAGAAGGTACTAAAAGAAAAGAAAGTATTTGAAGCAGTATGTACATATGATAACTGGAAACGAATACAATCCCCTATAATTACCGTTTTAAAAAGTTACAACGTACAGAAGCAGAAATAGAATATTTTTCTCATTTAATCTATAATGGGAGTCGCATATCTTTTATGTGAGTAAAATCACTGTGTAAAGATTATTTGTTAATATAGATGGTTTAAGATAGATGTGATTTTAGCAAAAAATTATTTTCTGCTGGTCGCCATATTTTTTTTTCAATTTTAACTTGTCATTCTGGCCATTGCGGTGTAACAAACATTGTTCTTCTGAAGAATATGTGGGGTTTTTTTTGTTCAAGGTTCCTTTAATTAAGAGCCATTCTCTGCAATGACTTGAAATTTTATACAGGGGCTTTGGCACGCCTAATCGCAAAATTTGTCCAAACTCTCAATGATGAAAGTCTCTGATAACATTAACTCAAATCTGGCAAAAATCTGTTGCCATGTATTATGGTTACCATGGCAACATGCCATAAAGTTTGAAAAATAGAATTTTTCAACATGTTCAGAGTCCTATAGTCCCACGTTAACGTTAATAGTTAACGTTTGTAGCAGTGCAAACAAGTGGCAATGACTGTTTCCAAACGTTGAAGGCCTGATGTCTTAAATGCATGATAAACATATCTGGGAAATCAATTATTACACGCGTTACTATGGAAACAAAGTATTAAAAGTAATAATTTCATTCACTCATTTTTATAAAAAAAAATCACACACTCGAAAATAAAAGCAATTATAGGTTAAAATGCAGCCAAATAATAAAGGAAAATCCTTGTAACATACTAGTATACCAAGGATAAATTTTGATATTTTCTATTGGTTGGAAATGGTTGACTTGGAATAATTTTGGAAGTAGGTGTGCTGGTTTGCTTTAATTAATAATAATATTTCACGGAAATATAGCATCTCACTCTACAATTTTAATATCAAATATTATGTAGTCTTCGGTTGTAAAGAATCTGATATTGAAGTTTGAATAAAATGTAAACTTTTGAAGGAAAATTAAACATTTACCCGGGGAGGGTAGATTTGGACATCAAGACATTCATTTGAACACTTTTTTTCTGGCCTTGAGATTATCATATTTACATCTAATGCCACAGCCAAGGTATAGCCTGAAAAATAAACACTAAACATTATGACGGGGGGGGGGGGGCACAGCCATACATTTTCAGTTGGGGGGCACTTTCGACTACCAAAAATTCCTTGACAAGCAAAAAAAAAAAAAAAAAAAAAAGCGTCATCACACGTTTTTATTGAGGGGGCACAAGCATATCGGAGCTTTGTCTTCTACAGTAATCTATATGTCGGCAAAATTATTGGGGGGGGACACACGCCCCCCCCCGGTTCCTACTGCCATGATGAGGAAATCGTTAATACTTGAGAAATACATGTATGTAGAAAAACATTGAACACTTCAATTTGGTGGCATCATCCTAATATTTAAGTATATAGAAATAACAAAATAAATGCTGAGCAGAACACGAAGAAAATAATTTTTTGGTTTTGAAAACTAGCAAAAACTTTTCAGTTGTAAACCCCCCCCCCCCCCCAGAAAATTAACATAAAAGTCTTTCATCACTGTTAAAGATTTGAATTTGATCGATCGATAGTAATACTTGTAGATTAAATTCTTAATTTTCTAATAAAAATAATGAAAAGACATTGATAACATTAAAAATTGATTTGATTAAATCTGGTATTTCTTAATAAAACATAGGCAGGATGGAGAGAAAAAATATTATGCACCGTCAATCTGCAGAGATTCCTGTTTACCTTTTCAATCCATTGACGTAATGTGGTCAATTAATGACAGGGGACACACGTAAGGTTTGCAAGCTTTTTATACAGACTGCTGTTAATTAGACCCGGGATTGGATTTTACGATTAAACAGGATGGTCAGCTCGATAAACAGATAAAACGGACTTTATTTGCTACATTTACGCAGGAAGTGGTATGGAGGAAACCTAATTTCCGGTGCCTTCTCTCGACACAATAAAGAAACATGTAGCGTTCTAATGATCTGTGACCTGAACAATCACCTTCTTTTCAATCAGTAATCCTAGCTTCCAACTTATTAGAAAACTCATTGATATTTCTAGTGTGATATAATGTTCATAAGTTTACGTAATATATAAAAGTATTCATTTTCATTCTAATTGACCGAGTGTTAAATCGCCATTCACTGGATTATATTTACAGACACTGGGTTTGGATAAATTTAATGTCAATCGAGTGACAAACTGTAGAGTCTCATCTCAAACTTTGGAGAATTTGTAATATTTTCATAGACGCGGTGAAAACTGAATTGACGATTATTGGTCATTCAACTTACAGGCCCGTAGGAAGCAATTTCACTTTGAGGGGGCACAGCCATACATCTTCAGTTGGGGGGGGGGGGGGCTCTATCAACTGCCAAAATTCCTTGACAAGCAAAAAAAAAAAAAAAAGGTCATCAGACATTATTATTGAGGGGGCACAAGCATACAGTGGCTATGTTTTCTATATATCGGTAAACTTATTGGCGTGCCGTGCCCCCCCCCCCCCCCCAGTTCCTACGGCCATGACTTGATATTCACAATTAGTGTACTCAAAAGGGATTGAAACATAGTATATTCTGCGCTGATATATTAGTAAGCAACCTTAGATGGAAAAAACTAAAAGAAAACTTAAGGTAAACATTTATCTGTTTTTTTTTCTGCAGAATTATCACGATGTAAATTTCGAATTTATTGGAGATCAATCAAAAATTCATATCACCACTGTTAACTTTTGGGAAATTTTTCATTTACTTTCATCTGGTAGATTCAGAATTTAAACAACATGACAAAATCACAGGAACTTTGTTATATTACAATATGCTCCGTGTCAATGTCATTACAAGAGTATAAATATAATTAGATTATTTTGGGAACTTCATATTGTCAAGAACATAAAGAATGTATCATGTTATATTTAAGCATCTACATAATCTACATACAGTTAAATATTTATGTGCATTTGCTTATTTCCGTTTGGTCTGGGAAGGGAAACAGTAAAGTTGGAAGAGTATGAGATGTACTCATAGGAGTTTTGCAGCATATTCGCTGATCGTCATCCTATTCCTTGTTAATACATTTTTTTTCTTTAATCAATGAATATCTTTGCTGATTTCCAATAAAACTGAAATTTAAGACATTCATTTCTCAAAATAGCAAGTACGGAGGGTGTTGCATTTTTTCGTTTTATTGATACAGTGTTACATGGACATTGGGGCAAATAAAATATATTTTTGCTGCCCTTATCTGCAGTCTTTTAAATACCCCCTTGAAAATGCTTCTCAGTGTTCCAAATGAATCCATTTGGTAATATAGCAAAACTACACAGATGGCCTTTACATGTTCTAGGTCAACGCCAGATCTCTGTCTTATCATTACAAGGAGTCATTGAGATGTTTTCTATACTTGAAAGAGAGTAAAAGTCGAAGCCTCTGCTTCTCATAACTGAATTATTATCAGCAAACAATCAAATGAAACTGGCCTTCAATATATACCCGTAAATTGGCCGCTATAAACAGTCATTTTCAGACGAAATATCGGATGTAACTTTATTGTCGTTGCTTTTACATGAACCAGTTATTAGCACAATTAAAGCAATCTTATATTTATATTGCTCTTCTGCTTTGGAAATCAAATAAAATTTGTTTCCCCGTGGAGTGCTCCGACCTTCTGAACTGAGACTGAAATTCTGTCGACATTTTCTGTTATATGTATATCGTTGCCTAGCTGTGTTATATTCTCCCACCAGGGACAATGTTAAAAATAAAACTATTTCCTCGATGAAAATTCTATTTATTACTTGACAGTGACAATTGTAAGTTTATTACGTAACACTTCTCAATTAATAGATAACTAATACCTGTAGTTCTTGAAAACTATGTAATACTAGGCGCTGAATCCACTAGCGACAATGAAGCTTTTTTATGTAAATCCCAGCAATTTTTGGTTTGTCTTGTTCTTAATACACTGAGGAGGAAGAGAAATTACTTTTAACACTAGAAATGGCACCAGGAAAAAGTTTTTTTTTTAATTTGAAATTTACGAATGATCGCACTAGAGCTTTTGATACAAACATTCCTGTTACTGTAAACTTCTATTTGTTATGCTACAGCTTAACTGAAATTCATAGAAGGAAATCAAAAATATTTGGAATTCTTCAATATTTTGGATGATGTGTTGAGATTTCTAGTTTACCGTAGACTTTTAAGAAAGCAAAAGAAAAAAAATATAAATAAAAATCTTTTTAAGAACAGGTTATAAAAATCTGTACTTTGAAATGTGACATGTATAAAAACATTTAAAAATATAATGGCAATATATTTACAATGTACCAGCTGTTTTCATTAGATGATGACCAACAATGCACTTAGAATGAAAGGGTTTTCAATGTGGTTGCACTTACTTCCTTTTTCCGTAGAACCATGTTTTTGTAATGGAAGGAATTAATTAGTAGAATGTGACTCTAGTTCATAAAGTCACCGGGTACTTGCTTATTTCCTGTCTCCCACGCTTGTACGTTTATAATAAGTACATAAAACATCGAACATTTTCATTCAGGTTTAATTGCATGCATCATTTTATCACCTTGATCAATACTGATTCAAACCCAAGGTGTCTTTTTGCAAGGTAATATTGAGATTTTTTTTGCATATGATATATAAATATCGGAGAATCTATGTGCGCTAATACCCCATTGCCGTGCTTCCATCAATGAAATGTACCACTATAGATCCCAGAGTCCGGTGGCGTTGATTCATTTATTGTTAATTGCTGAAGGGAACTTGTCTGCCTTTTGGCAAGCTTTTGTAGAAGATCATTAAATCAAAAGCCCCGAGAGCTGTACAGTGCCGATCCGTTGAAAAAGACCATCTACAATAAAGGTAAGGACTTTTCATTAAATAATTATAAAGTACATTGGTCTACCAGAATTCTAACAGATGATACGCTCCTACGCAATAAGAACACATCATTACGTATGGAAGTGTCTTGATCTGTTATTTTTACGGTTTAAAAAAATAATTGAGATTCTTTTATTGAAATGGTTTATACTTTAAGACCGAAATTAATTTTAACATTAGAAGCATTATAAGGCTGTGCTATAATTATGACAAAAAAGTTCTTAGCCAGGTTTGGTATTTTTTTTTTTATATAGAAGGCACAAAAGCTTGTAGAATGATACATTGCCTTTCCAGCACAAACCACATACAAATTAAGGATGCTGCGTTTTATGTTCAAGTTTTTACAAGGTTCAAAAGGAAATGAGACTACAAAATAAACCTTGGGAGAAAAATAGCCTAATATTTTGTTTCTTATTCGCCTTCTTCACTTACGTTACACTATAATTATCTGAGTACAGTTGACCGCAACAAGGCTTATTACATCAATAACGAACATTTTTGCTTTGTCCTTTCAAACAAAAATTAATAAATATTGAGCTTTTTTTTGACTTAGATTGCCATATATAGTTCAAAGAAAAAAAAAAACATGTACGAGATTCAATGCACAGTTTTACTTTAAACACCTTTAGTCTTCAGTGAGCATCCTTGCTTTTCATAATGATACAAATATTTCTGTAACATTAAGCATAAGATTGAAAGATTTTGTATTCGACCTCCACCCCCTCCTTTAAGTTAAGATTCTCAAAAATTAAGACTCAGGTCATCGAACCCCTATTCATATATGCTCAACATTGTAAATTATCAGTATATGTGCCTTATGCACCATTACATTTCTGGTGTGGGAGAATAAACTTAACTAAATTGATTAAATTTGATAACATAATACAGTGAAAATATTCGGTTAACACCACACTAAAACAGCATCGAAATCGCAATGGGTTTACTGTAAAAAGTAAGGGGTGTACATTTAAATATATATTAAGAAATAAGCGTTTGAGATGAATTTTCCCCCAATTTTTTTCAATATTTTATTCTACTTTTAGTAGAATACTTTATTTTGATTTTCGGGGGGAGGGGGCTACTTTCTGTCAATGACAGGATAGATGATGCTGATGTTCATTACATGGTAATAAATGTTCATTGTGGAAAGTAGTGCATTATGTTGTAAAAATTTAATGAGACCAAGGTTTGATCGTCACCAATGACTGTTAAGTTCATTATTCACAAGAATATCGGTCTTTGGTTTCGACGAGTATGTTTTATTGAAAGGCAAACGTGATTAAATTCATGAGTTGTACTACATTCTATGTCATATATATAGATTATGTATGATAATTTTTCTTCAAATAGAAGTCATAAGATATATTTTTACTAGTGGTGTAATAATATTTAAGCTTAATTTCTTTATTCCTTAGACCTGAAAATAACTTTAAAGTAATTTTTCCGATCAAAATAATTGTTTTTTTTAAAACGTTGAAACATAAATTCTGGGCCGCTCCCAATTAAAAGTTTCTGAGACTGAAAGAAACACGCTTAAACGTCGGACGCCAAAATTAAGCGTAAAAAATTATTTAACTACCGAAAATAAATGTGTATTCTGAATGTCCCGTAAAAACGTTTGATTTGTTCTATGTCTAAATTTTGGACACAAATATCTTATAATCATCCAAAAAAACCTCTATATCACTACGCCACGTCACTTTTATCCATTAGTTGTGTTTTGGTAATTATCTTCTTCCGCGTTTTCTCGATTTAACAGTCAACATGTTCGAGTGTAATTAATAATGGGTATCATTATCGAATTATCAAACTCCAACATTCGGAAAATAATTGTGTCGTAAGATATACTGCTTCATTAAAACTTTTGCGGAGGAATCATTACTACCTCTCCAAAGCTTGCATTCTGTGAAAAAGCATATATAACAACAGAGAATTATCTTCAAAAGTAATAACTGTGCTACTTACACAATAAAATCATCGTTATTATGCTTGAGATATTAATATTGCCATGATAGAACTTGGATGGTCATCGATTGGTTGTAGAAAAACCTCAAAACAGGACCAGACTACAGAACAATTATAGACAAAGTATACCGATCTGATGTATTATATACATTATAAATATAGTATAATTGCACATGCTCTGTTTTTCAGCTATACACATGCGCATGTACAGTACTACTTAGGAAACAAGATGTGTTTTTGAAACACTGATGCCACCGTATGGCAACTTACAGCGAAGGTTAAACTTTCTCAAATGCAAATCAACTATGTTGGTACCCAAAGTAAGGTCTTGTCCCGACGAATATACCTGTGAAATATGAAAGTTCTAGCAGCAACCATTGAAAAGATATGGAAAAGGTTAAAGTTTTTCAAAAGTAAGCGCTGTGGTTAGAGCGCCTGCTCTAGAGTCGCGGAGTAAGGAGTTGATCCTTACATCGCGGGTTCGAATCCCAATGTGGGACGTGGAGAGCGGTCCCTTCGATGAGACCGTATAAACTGAGGTCCCATGTCGCAGTAAGATCCCTCACTGCTCAATGGCCCTAAGTACCGAGTATAGGTAAAAAAAATTGCAGCTCTCCATCGGCAGGTGGGTGGCCTCTCCATATGAGTGAAAAATTCTTAAGAGGGACGTTAAACAACAAACAAACATCAAGGTCAAGGTCAAATAGTTAATGGTGCTCAAGGAAAGGCCTTCTCATAAGAAACACACATGTGAAATATGAAAGTCTTAGCACCAACCTTTCAAAAGATCTGGCAAAGGTTAAGGTTTTTCAAAAGTTGGTCAGACTCCTAGGTCAAGGTCAAAGGCTCAAGGTTGTTGTATCCAAAGGAAGGTCTTGTCACAAGGATTACATATGTGAAGTATGAAAGCCCTAGCACCAACCGTTCAAAAGTTATGGCCAAGGTTAAAGTTTTCCAAAAGTAGGACAAACGTCAAGGTCAAAGGGTCAAGGCTGTTGGTATCCAAAGGAAGATCTTGTCAAGAGGATTACATATGTGAAGTATGATAGCCCTAGCACCAAGTGTTCAAAAGTCACGGCCAAGGTTAAAATTGGGTAAAATTTTGTAAAACTAGGTTAAACTCCAAGGTCAAGGTCAAAGGTGAAATATGATGGTACCCAAAGAAAGGTCTTGTTACAAGAAATACGCATGTGAAATATGAAAGCTATAGCTCCAACCAATCAAACTTATGAGCAATGTTAAAGTTTTTGCGTACATACAAACAGACAGACAGACAGACGGAGGAACAGGGCAAAAACTATATACCCCGAATCTTCGATACGGGGGCATAAAAAATTTGAATTTTCATATTTTTGTGGTCATTTTTATTGTCCATATAACTAGAGACCATGATAAATCTCTCAATTTTCCAAGAGATACGAATTTAATTATTACATACTAGTAATAAAGGACTTATCGCATGCTCTTAAAAATCATAATTTTATGAAAAAAATTATCTACAACCTTGTTAATTAAAATGCAGAATACAATAACGTTTCAAATACAACGATATGTATATTTCACTCGGATTTCGGTGCAATACTGCTTTGACGTCATACGCGAAAATCCAGATAGATTAATTTGTTTTACGACCCATTCGAGAATTTTCCACTCATTTAGAGACGTTGCCATATACCAATGAAGGGTTTCAAATTTAGACCTTTTCTCAGGGCCAATGAGCAATGAGGGATCTTTATAATGCCAACACCTACCGTGTCACGTGGCTTCGCATTTTAAGGTATCATCCAAAAGACCGTAATCAGCATCAATGCAACTTTATGTAGCATTACTTGAATCAACGCAACTTTCATGCATTAGCATTAAAAAACTAGATGCTGTCATAAACATTAACAGTAATACCCAAACTAAGGTGTTTACCTCTAAATGCACACTCCTTCATATTTGGGTAACCAAGGAAAAAGCCACAAAACTATAAAACCATTTACACAGTCAAATGCATGGGAATGTTTAAGAAAAAGTCATCAAGAATCTTCTCAAGAACCACTGGGCAAGAAAAAAATAAAGTTGTGTGAAAACTTCATAATATGGTGTAGAATCAAATTTGTTCTTTCAAAACTCTACTCCTGCTTTAGCTTTGACCCCGGATTTCATTAATACTTGGAGCACAAGTAGACTATACTAAGAAATATAATTTTGTTTATCGGTTTTTGATTTCTTTGAACGCTGTTGCCATGGTCAGTAAAAAAGATATTTTTTGTGAAATTCATACAAACTGCTACTTCTCCTAGAGTTTTGGTTCGATTTGCAATGATTTTGTGCACAATCAGCCTTTTATAATGTACATAACTCAATTTTTTTTAAAATCAGTTTTTGATTTCCATGAATGATCTTGCCATCGTTACTAAAAGTAGATTAAAAATGTAAAAAAGTCATTTATCAACCCCTATTTGACCCCTAAGATGAAAATAAAAATTCCGAAACCTTACTGCACATCTACAGAACGCCACCATTCATCTTCTAAAAGATGATTACTATTGCATAAAATGTAAGACGAGTTCAGCTATCATATTACAAAAGATAAATTGGTTACTGCTTAAAATAAAAGAATTGTTTGAGGAAGTGTGACAGGCGGACGGACTGACCAGGGTAACAACAATATACCCGAACTTTCTTTAGAAATGAAATATATGGAGATAACGAACAGTATTCAAGCTTAAAAGTCCATTAAACAATACAAATTATGGTGCAGAGCAAACGCAGACCTCTAAAACATCAGAGGTGGGATTAGGTGCCATGGAGGAGTGAGCATCCCCTGCCGACCAGTCACACCCGCTGTGTGCTCCTTGACATGATCGGGAAATAACGGAAAATCCGGCGACGATTCAGTGTGTAAATAATGGCCTAACAATTAGTATGAAAAACGTCAGTCAGCAATTGACTTAATGATAAATTGTATTTGCTGACAAGGTCATTGTATCGACCATAGAACTTGCGAAATGATGACTTTAAACGAGACT